AGGATATATTTTATATTATTTTATTAGTTTGTCACCCATTTTATTTCTTGTATTTTATTTTACATATTTGCAACTAATCCACGACTATTTTTTTAATATTATTTTTCATATTTTATTTTATTATTTTATTTAGTTTCATATACATTATTTTTTATTATTTTATTAGTTTGTTTAATTTTTTTATATTATTTTATTTAATTTATATCATTTTTATTTTAGAAAAGATATAATATCTTAATATTTCATGCTATTTTTAAGCATATGGATTATAATAAGGATAAACTAATGAACTATTATTCATATATTTTATATTATTTCTTTTTATATTATTTTATTATTTTCTTGTATTTTAATTTATTTATATTTTTATTCTTTTATTTAGTTTCATATACATTATTTTTTATTATTTTATTTAGTTTTATATTATTTTATTATTTTGTTTAATTTATTTTTTAGTATTTTATTTAATTTATATCATTTTTATTTTATAAAGGATAACATATTTTAATATTTCATATTATTTTTAAGGATATATATTCTATACTATTTTTTAACATATGGATTATAAAAGGAAAAAATTAATGAACTATTATCCATATATTTTATATTATTTTATTTGTTTTCTTTTATATTTATTTATTTTTTTAAAAAAATTATTATATTATTTTATTTAGTTTCTTTTATATTATTTTATTATTTTATTTAGTATCTTTTATATTAGTTTATTACTTTCTAGTTGATTAGTACGGATATGTACGTTACAATATCTATGTACATTATGATATTATGTGAGCCTCTTTCCTTCCATAGCTTGAGCATGATGTTATGTGAGTCCCTTTCCTTCCATAGCTTGAGCAACATGAGTATGAGCTAGTTGAAGGCTAGACTCAGGGGTACATATATGAATCCCCTAGTGGATTCATGTATAGAGAAGTATTACACATCCAACTTCACTCAAATTGAATAATAGAGTTCAAGGTCATGAAATTTATGAAAACATAAATCCCATCATAATTGCATGGAATTGTATTTTTTAACCCCAATAGTGGAGCTACTCACTAAGTATTTTTTAAGTAAAGGTAAGACACTCATGGGGGATGACATCCCTATGCAAGTCAGGGAAATAAAATCACTATAGTCACATTTTCATTAATTTGTCGCCCTTAGGTTAAATTAGGGCATATGCATTTCTTTTAATGGTTGTTATTTCTATTTCATTATTTTGTTGACATGCATAAAAGACATGGGGGCATGCATCATCATTATGATTGTTATGCTATGTTTCACCCTGTTATATCATGTTATGCTAAGTTATACCATGTGTATGCTATGTGGTGTTATCTCATGTTTATAAGTTATGCTATGGTGTGCCTATGACATGCTGCAGAATTATGTTATTATGTTGATAATCTATGATGCATAAATCTACATACACCATGCCATCTATGAGAAAAACATTCGTCCCAAGCTAGAGGCAAGGTCGAGCTGAATGACTTGGTCTAATGTAGAGGAAAGTTGATTTGTGTCGCAAATGATTGAACATGCATGTGCAAGCAGCGTGTGTAGCTGAACAAGTTTGAATTTTGCATAAGTTTAGTTCGGTAAGCAAAGAAAAATCTTGCATAAGGTTTGACGAAGCCACAAAATTGGGCGTGTAAGGCATGGGCTTCAGACTTCAACTTTGAGCTTGACTCGAATGTGTAAAAAGACGGATAAATTTTTCACAAAATAAAACAAAGATAATTTAAATATAATACACTTTATATTTATATTATATCAAAATAATGTTCATACATAACTAGTTAGAAAAATACAAAATAAGGAATTGACACAAAATATTTAAAAACAAAAGGGTTGAGGATGATGGGTGAGACTTGTCTATAGCACCTGCTCCAGAGTCTCTCCCAACTTCAACCAACTCCTTATTTATCTAAAAAACATGGAGTGAGTACAAAAACTTGGCAAGTAGCGTACTTGTAGACTTTTAATTGTGTCCTTGGTATGCTAGGGTACCACATTCATTATTATCTTATTCTAGTTCTTGTGGTAGGTATGTAGGCCCTTGGGTTATGTTCTTGACTTTTTAGTTCTTATCATGATTTGTCATTTGAGATCTAAAAACCTTAGTACTTTGGTGATGGGTTCTTGTCTTTAGAACTTGGATCTTGATCTATGTTCTAGTTTTGAATTACTATCTCGTTCTCGACTACTTTCTATGTTCTTATTATGTTCTTGTTTTGTTCTCCAAGATACTCTTCTTAGGATTTACGATACTAGTCATGAACCTAACAACCTTTGTCCAAGATTTCATACATTCCAAGCGACACAGTCTAACATACGTCCAAGGCTTCATGAGTGTCCTAATTTGGAGTTAATTCTCCCAGTAATCGTCTACAAAACAAACCTTGGATGTGCAGAAAATGAATGAGGTTGACTTTACTTAGTGAATTTGCTTGTAGCCTCCCACTCGAATTTCAAGCTTTTAAGCTTCTTCTTTAATGGTGGCCACGACTGGGGGTATAGTCTTGAGACTCTTTCAACATTCGATTCCTTCATAAATCTTACAGGTAGAAGGTGTAGGAACAAATTTAAAGGGAAATGGAGGATAATTTCTCTCAAATTTGGAAGAAACTCGAGAGTAGGAAACTCAAAATGTCAATGACTATGACTTACGATTGGGAGCTCGACTTAACTTGATTCTTGTTCCAAATGAAAACCCCAACTTCAACCTTTATAGACAGAGCTTAAACAGGCAGATATCTCCAGAATCGTCGTAATTTGGAATTTGATTTTTTCTAGATTTTTTTGTCGGAAATATCCTCTCCTATCAGAGAGAAAGCAACCTCCAATTTGAATTCTAGTCATTAGATGTGATGGTGTGCATCTCCTCTAGAACATAAGTTGTCTTGCTACGTAAGAAGTGCGCCGATCTAGTTAACTTGTCAACGATTGTATACACCTTCAATGTCCTAGATAAACCTATGATAAAGTCCATACCTATATTCTCACACTTTCATTCTAACACGTTTAGGGGTTGCAATAATCCCACCGTCTTTACTTGTTGGCACACTAAGCACTTGCTTACAAACTCTACTATATCCATCTTCCTACATTATGTGCCCTAGTTCCTTACCAATTCAATAAAACAAAAAAAAGTCCTCTTTTTTAGACTTTAAAATTAAAAAGATAACGACAAGAACTTGAGGAAGCAAAAAATAAAATGTATCCAACAAAAAGCAATTTAATATATGAAGGTATTGTATTGGAGTTATTTACACACAATTTATATACTTTGGCTATGTCTTTGAGAACCAGAGATAGCTTACCTCAACTCTGATGGGACAAAGAATAACAAATTTTGTTGAGCCCCCGAACTGAAAGCATACACCAAAACAGAGACTCATGTTTACAAGCATGGATATGCACCAATCTGACCATTGGATTCTAGAACACAAAATATGGTTGAAACTTTATTTTTGTTGCTCATTGGGAAGATGACATAAACCTTGTCACACGTAATGCAACGATTCTATCAACCGAGCTTTTTGTCTGACCCTCGAGGAATATTGAACCATCTCTTTTTGAAAGATCTTTCTTTTTCGTCTGAGGTCCCATCGTCTCCTTGATTCTCAACGTTCGAACTGTCGCCAGTAGATTTACTACTACTTCCATTACTCGTAACACCAGCTCCGATAGGATTTGGTGCTTTTGTGATGGTGAATGAAGCGTGTATGCCATCTCGTTGTTTAAGAAGCTCGTCCACCTAAGTTTCAAAACTTTCAGAAATACAAAGAGAAGGAACAGCATATCCGTAACTTTGTTAAGTGATAAATTAGAAACTACAATGAATAAACTAAGTGAAACAGAATAAGTGTGCTTCGCTCTGCCACATGATGAATCCTAGTCGAATAAAAACAAGGAAATATCGAAGGCAACTATTTCCTGACAAATCCTAGTAGAATCCAAATCCCCAATTTTCTTGTCATTCCCAACTTCAATAGAGGTTACTCGCAGCTGAAAAAAAAAGGAACAGGGGTTCGTAATACTACCACTTGTAACTTAGCTCGAGAACAAGCCAAAATTATTGACCCTACTAAGTGAACATGGTTCAACTGTAACAACCCAAGTCCATCGTTAACAAATATTGTTTTCTTTGGGCTTTCCTTTCTAGACTTCCCCAAACTTTTCAAAATATGTGTGCAAGGAGAGGTTTCCACACATTTATAAAGAATGTTTCGTTCTCCTCCCCAACCGATGTGGGATCTCATAACCACCTCTTTTAGGGCCCAGTGTCCTCGCTGGCACTCATTCCTCTCTTCAATCGATGTGGGATCTCACAATAATCCTCGCTTGGCCAGAAATGTTGCGAGACAATTAGAAAGGGATTGCATAAAAAGTGGAGGGGAGATTTTTCTCAACTTGACCATCAACTTTCTAACATTAATATTTGCAGCTAGGAAGCACAAACACTTCGTTTTTGACAATTTCCATGTCGAACAAAGATACATTTGGACACGTGTTCAACATACAAAATTGAGTCTCTTTTTTTTAAAAAAAAAAAATTGAGCATGTGGCAAACATGCCATAGACACTCCTTGAACAGGCTATGCAACCTTTCGGCTTAAAAAGCCCGACCACCCCTTTATTGTTTTATAACAATAACACTAAAGCAAGAAAAACCCTAAATCATAAAAGCCTAATTGATTTGAGTGTTAAGAGAAGGTATCCATCCCATTAGCAGGTGAGATGATAAAAAATTCAAACCTAGAATGTACCTAAATAAGTAACAAAAAAAACATCAGCTAGGCTTCAGTAGAGGTTTTGCAAAAACAGCTCTAACTTTGCATAACATGCTGTTCTCATTAATAAGGTAAGACGATACTTTTCAACATAGCTGCTCTTAATTGGTCATGTGTCAAACCTATGTTGAGCATAAAAACACATACCAAGCATTAGTTGAACAAATTGATTACGGTTCCAACACTCGTTAAAGACATGTCTAACTCTTACAAAGAAAATCTGTTGGAAACTAATGAACATATGTCAAACAATTATTGGACAGTAACAAAAGTATTAAAACTTTTATAAATTTACAGGATAGAAGACAACAGAAACATCCTCACTTAATCCCTTTTTCTCAATCTTTTATAACTTTTTTATTTTCTTCAAGATCCCAAATGGATGGTGTATTCAAAGAAATTAACATTGCCTCCAACATAACAACGATGGGATCAACTTACCCTTGAATCTTTTTATTAAAGTTATCTGCTTTCTTTCATCACCTCTTAACTTAAAAACGGACTACAAGCCAAACGAAAACGTTGCAAGCCATTCAACATACCAAAGAATGAAAGAAACAAAACTGATCTCCTCTGGCCTATGGAAGCAATCCAAAAGTCTATAACCTAATATCAACCTCTGGAATTATCTAATTATGCTATCTGAATTTATAATTTAAATGAAAAGGAAAGAAAAATAAGAATATGGCATTTCCATCATCCTATAAGAATGCTTGTTGAGTGAGAAAACTGAGGGATGTAGATATGACTTCAACAAATTGCACTTGCATGCTATCAACAGACGTGTTGACATCTACGGACATATAAGGGATGATATTTATTGCTTGGCTTTGGCCTAGATATTAAGAAACCAAAATATGAAAAAACATGATCTAAATTACAAGAATTACCAATGAAAACTTACAGATTGTTTTTCCTCATTGTATCTTTTTGTCACTTCTTGGAAGCGTGCTAATGCCTATGGAACATCATACCGAAGCAATTAATAAAAAATAAGTAAAAAAAAAAAAAAGAAACAGGTAGTGGGGAGAAGAGTGAGAGAGAGAAGAGGGAGGGAAGGCAAAGAATATTTCAACACCTTCCGGTATTCTGTCTCGAATTGCCGTAGCTCATTTCTCTTTCTCAAAATTAGAGCTTCAATATCTTTCAGTTTTTCTGTTGTCTCTGCATAATCTTTTGTACATAGTGCCTCAATAGTATATGCAGCAGTCTTGAAAAAGTTATCTCCTGGATAAACACGGAATATATTCAAAAAGCAGTTAACACGAAACAGAACAAAATTTGAAAGATGAATTAAGAAATCTAAGTTAAGACCATAAACAGCAAAAATATGGGTGCCAGCCTTTAGCTCTGAGACCTCACAAGGCTGAAGACCTTCCAAACTCTTGAAGAAAACAGCCTCAGGGTCCTTAGCCATTGCCAACTGCAACAACACATGGATTCATTCAACCATCAGATCTGATCATAACGAAAAATAGGACGTGATGACCTTTCTGGTTAAAAGTAAAGGAAACACCAGTAAACTACACATAATTGGAACTTGAAGTACCGCATTGACAGTGGAATCCATCCTGTACACTTGAAAATGCAAAAAGTACAATCCAGCAGACGTTACTTTCCCAGTCTTCTCACTATCTTCCTACGGAAAAGCAATGGAAAAACCACAGTACTAAAGTCAATACGAAGTTGAATCATAGATTCCCAAAATTAATTTACTCAGAACTATTTTACAAGTTGGGATCCACATGACAGGCTATGGATATGGTAAGCTTTCATCGAACTACTCATGGTAAACCTACTATACAACACAGTTCAAAGTATGTCCTCAAGTATCATAAATATCAGACTGCCGTAATAATTTTACGTTCAGAAAACTGAAAGGAGGGAATTTTTCCAAACATCTCCCATGGAAAAATCGAAAAGAATTTTTTTTTTAACATATATCCAGCTTTTTTTTTTTTTTTTTTTTTTT